TCCTACCCTTTCTGGGAAATGGGTTGTCGGCTTGTGCTTCACCCTTCACCGGGCGTTTTACAGCCTCTCAGTCTCATCCTCAGGGTGAGGCATGTTTCCCTGAGGGCGCAGTTCAGCAGACTCCTTCAGAGTAGTCTGAACAAAGTCAGTTAGAGTTGGTCTGGTTTACCTACGGGCCCTTTGAGGAGAGTCAGGATCCTTATTTCAAGCAGGGGACAACCCAGTCGGAGGGACCCTCACTGGTGTGATTTTTCGGAACAGTGGTGGCAAAGTGGGGACTTTGGAGTGAGCCAGGCTCGTTCTGACCTTTGTCAATTTAACCTCTCTACACCTGACTTCTACACACTGGGGGCATATACCTGCCTCCAACAGCAGTAGCAAGGGTTAAATGGACCCTGTAGGCAAACCTCTGGGTCAAAATTGAGTCAAACCTCTTGATTTATGCGAATTTAAATTGTATCCAACTTCATGATCTTAACCTGTTAACAGTGCCAGTTGTTGATCTACACACCCTTCCCTCCCCCCCAACAGTGAGCGTTAATAAGGGCTTTGTGTCCACGGGAGTACCCTTAGCCGCTTGGAGAGATGGGAGGGGAAGAGAACAGTGTCAAGTAAAAGCCATGCTTCAAGCCACCCGAGGCTCCAGGAGAACTGCTGGAGAGAAGGACGAGGCAGATGAAAGCACTGACAGATGCAGGCTGGGGAGCCGTCTGCATGTGTCTGGGCCCCAGCCTGCTGGCCACTTAGGTGCTTTCGCCTCTTTTCCTGACTTCTGTTACTGAGCAGGCTGCCACCAGACAACTGGAGAGCTTGGCAGGGTTCCAGGAATCTGTACCAATGCCACGCCTCCCACCCTAGTGGTGCCTGCACTCGGGCAACGTGGCCTCCTCAGGCCGCGCTCTGACTGATGCTGGCACGCTGGCACCAGCCGGAGTGTTCCCAGGGAGTCAGAAGAAGACTCGGCTCTGGGAGTCAGGCGGCCTGAATCCAGACCTCACCTTTGTGTAGCTTTGGCCCTTTAGCAAGTCCCGTCAGCTCTCTTGAGTCCAGACCTGTGTGAGTACGATGAATGTGTGTGCTGCATTCGGTAGGCCTGAGACCCTCCCTGCACTGGCGGGTGTGCACTGGAAACCCCCTCTCTGGGCCTCCTGGGAGGCCGCACCACCTGGCAGGATTAGTGCCTGAAGAGCAGTTTCTCACTACCAGCACCGCTCACACCCTATCTGTGTTTGATAAATTAGTTTTGGACTCCTATGCACAACTGTGACCAAGGTTCCTGCTGCCACAATAACCTCGCCAGCTCCCAGCACCCCCTGCAGCACAGCGGCCCTGCTGCCTCCCGTCAGTCCAGCCTTTCTCAGCTTCCCCCCTGCGCCTGCTGCTCAGCTGCCACCCAGCCCCAAATTTCCGCCTCGCCAATGAATCTTTCCCTCTGGGTGTGCTCTTCTGGAGGGACTTGTACCTTCCATTTTTTTTCTGATTTTGCTCTCTAATCTCAAGAGTCATATCCAACAGCATGCTCGTGTTAAAAACAAAAAGGGTGTGTATGTGTGTGTTTCAATATCTCTTTCTCTGTTAATCAGAAAGACTTACCCAGACAGAACTTGATTTTGAAGACTAGAGCTGTTCGTTAGAAAGTGAAAGTAGCTGATAATTCTTTTTTTATATGTGAAGAAACAGCAAGTCATTTAAACCTTTTCCCTCTTGGTAACTTTGAAAAAAATAGCAAAGTTACTTGAAATATGTCACCTTTTATTTTTTCCCTCCTTGTGCCCAGGATAAAGATGTCATAGAAGCTTTTGTGTCCCACACTCCTGCTAAACTCTTTAGGTAGGAGACATAATTGGCTTTTTCCTTGAGAGGAAGGTAATAACAGACTGTGTCTGAGCTATTCTCTTGCAAATCCCAGTGAGTACTGAATAATAAAGTCTGTCTAGCTTCTGGTCTGCAACTCTTCTCACTTTCCTTTGAACAAGGGCAGTAAGTTGCTCTTTTTCTGCATGGTTCTGGCGCTGAAAAAATTCAGTAGGTGGCCAGAGAGTCTTTATGAGACTAAAGACAGCTTCAGAGAGCCATTGGACCAGGTTTTAAAAAGAAAAATGGGCTTGTATCTTGACTAGCAAACAATGCTAGAGGAATTGAATGGTTGCTTTAGGACCCCAGCTTGGGGACAGGTGCCATATTTAGGCGAATTACAAATTGACCTGTTTGACTATAGCTCAATTAAGCTCTCAAAATAATCCCTGGGACTGGAGCTCAGATGGTAGAAGCAAGTACTCAGACCAGACTGCTCAGCCAGCCTCACCTCCTAACATGGTGTCATCCTCTGCATCGCCACAGAAAGGGCCTCTGGGGTGTTCTCTGTGGAACATGAAAGAACTCTGTCAGCACCACACGAGCCAAACCCCAGGAGTCCCATGAACTTTGCCCTTTGTAAATTACTTTTGTAAAAAATTCTAAGTTGAGGAGCCGGTGATAAGGAAATTGCTCAGCGCTGTTTTATGGTCCCAGCATTCAGTATCCTGTCGTGTCCCATGTTCTTTAAGTTATGAAAAGCCCAAGAAGCAAGTATCACCCTGCTCTCAGTTACCTAGAACTGGTTATGGTTGTAAAGATAGATAGATAGATAGATAGATAGATAGATAGATAGATAGATAGATAGCCAACTCCCCATCCCTTCTCTCCCTCCCTTCCCCCCCCCCCCCCTCGCAGCCACTGGCACCCGTCATTCTACTTTCTGTCTATGAATTGGAGTGCTCTGGGTACCTCAGTAAGGGATCATACAATATTTGTCCTTTTGTGTCTGCTTATCTTAGCATACTTTCTTCGAGGTTCATCCTTGTTGTAGCATGGTCAGCACTTCATTCCTTTTTAAGACTGAATAATATTTCATTGTACATACACACCACAATTTGTTCATCCATCGTCTATAAACATCTGAGTTGCTTCCACTTTTTTTGCTGTTGTGAATAGTGGACTTTATGTTCTTTTGGTTAGACATGCACAAGAAGAATCACTGGATCATGGGGTAACTATTTTTAATTTTTTCAAGGAACTGCCATACTGCTTTTCATAGAGGCTGTACTATTTTACATCCCCACCAGCAGTACACAAGGATTCCACTTTCTCCACGTTCATGCCACCATTGTTTTCTGTTTTTTTGATACAAGGCACCCATACGGTGGTATCTCGTGGTGGTTTTGGGCAATGGTTGCTTTATGTTGATGTTTGGTGGTACGCACAGCTGAGCCCCCTGCTGTGTTTCTGTGTGATGGGACAAGGCATGAAGAGGGGCTCCTTGCCCTTTTTGTTTCCTGGAGTCTGTAGCTGTAACCATGTGCTCTGCCCGCTCTAGCTAATCTCCGAGGCTCCTTTGGGCAACTACAGATAAGAAACATGAGATCAGGACTAGCTCTTAGAAAGGAGGTTGTAGTAACCAGGGCTGGGTTAGGATTCCTTGAAGATCTTTCTTCCAAGCGTGTGGGCAGGAGCCACAGCACTTAATGTGACTGGTCTGCAGAGGGGTGTGCTTTCACGGAAGGCTAACTCACCACTGACACATCTTTAGTTTTTACAAAGGTCTTCTACTTCTTCCACTGCTTTTTAAAAAGACACTTATTGCAAAAGCATTCGTTTTCTAGGGTAAATGGAAAATTGCAAGGCCTATTTATCTCAGGTTTGTGTTTTAAGTGGAATGATTGCTTTTTAGATGATTTTGAAAATTGTGTCTCCAATCCCAAACTCTGTAATACAAGGAGATAACAGTATGTGTAAGATAATCCACTTAAATTAGTAAAATAAAGTAAAGCAATTACATAAAATTTGGGAAATAAAAAATATATAACTCATTCCCATTACTGACACTTCTATCTGGTACATTTTTTTCCAGTCCTTTCTAACTTGTTTTAAAAACATAAAGCTGTAATAATATGTATATAAAGTGTAAATAAAGCTTTCCAAAAGGGTTATATACCCATTTACAATGCCGTTAACAATACAGCATATGAATGTATTTGCTCATTTCATTAGATAGATAGCCAACTTGGTGGACTTGCGGCAGTATTTTCTAACTTAAAGAGAAAAATTTTAAACTACTTTGATTAATATATATTTCTTTTGTAATTTTTGTTTCAAAATATTTTTTCCTTTTTTTTAGGGAGAGTGGAAGAGAGAAGAAATACATATAGAAACATCTATGTGAGTTCTATTGGTTGCTTCCTGCAGAGGCCCTGACCAACCCAGCTACGGCTGTTTTTTTATTTTTATTTTTGACATAGAGATGGTTCATATTTCTTTTTGTTGTTGTTTTGTTTTTGAAGGGCCTTTGGAATTTAGGAGAAAGAGGCAAGGAAAACACACCTGGAGAAAAGTGTGGGAAAAGGTGCAGGATTGCTCCATACAGAGCCACTGAGATGGTTCATATTTCTATGTGGGTAAGCCAGTAATTTTCAACCTTTTTCATCTTATGGCACACATAAACTAATTATTACATTCTGCAGCATACCTAAAAATACAGTATTTACTGATCTGACAAAAAATAAAGTATAATTTTGATGCATTCACATTGGGCAGCTATTGTTGTGTTGGCTGTTGTCATTTTTTTAATTTGACAATCTAAGGGAAAAGAGGTCACTGTCCCTGACTAAATAGTCAGGCATTGCAAGGATGTTTGTTTGTTTGTTTGTTTGTTTGTTTGTTTGTTTTGTAAGAAGGCTGTGTATGTATGTATTTTTAATACTCACCCAAGGATATTTTCCCATTGATTATAGAAAGAGTGGGAGAGGGAAAGATAGAAACATGGATGTGAAAGAAACACATTGACTGGGTGCCTCCCACACGTGCCTTGACCAGGACCCAGGCCAGGAAGAGCCTGGAACCAAGGTACATGCCTTTAACCAGAATCAAACCCAGGACCCTTCGACGCTCTATCCACTGAGCCAGATCAGCTAGGGTAGGTGTTGCACGTTTTAAAAATTCTTGCAGCAGATGCGCCTTGAGAGATGGGCTGGGTAGACATGGAGAACTATTTGGCGGTCGCGGCGCTGAACGGGTTGGACCGGCGTTCCCTGCAGCGCTCGGCGAGGCTGGGTCAAGAAGTGCTGAAGCGGGCTAAGAGGAGGGCAGTGGACTGGCATTCTCCGGAGCTTGCCAGTAGCAACGTGGGGGGCATTTTCCCGGAGCGGCCCTGCCGCGAAAGATGGCCCGCAGCCGGCCCCCAGCGCCTTCTCCCAGGAGAGAGAGAAGAAAGAAGCGCAACCCTCAGTGCTTCTTTCAGAACGATAGCTGAATTCATGGACTACACTTCAAGTCAGTGTGGGAAGTATTATTCATCTGTGCCAGAGGAAGGAGGGGCCACCCACGTCTATCGTTACCACAGAGGGAAGTCACAGATGCACTTGTGCTCAGACCACGGGGATGGCCAGAGACAAGAAATGCCCCTTGGTTTTGGAGGCCTCTATCCAGCCACGAAGTGTATGCCAGAGGCAGCCCAGCCTGCTGAGGACATCTCTAAGGACCTCTACATAGAAGTGTATCCAGGGACCTATTCTGTCACTGTGGGTGCAAATGACTTAACCAAGAAGACTCAAGTGGTGGCTGTTGATTCAGGACAGAGTGTGGACTTGGTTTTCCCCATCTGATGTTGGCCATCACATTGCCTTTTTTTTTTTTAAGTACTAAGGAGAGTAAAGCCACCATATGATTCTGTTAATATTCATACATTAACCCTGCTCTTAAAGTCAGCCTTCCTGAGACCTGGAGCTTGTCTCTTTCAGTGCCTGTTTTTAACCTCAAAAGTTTTTAACCTCTCACCTTCTGCCTGAAAGTAATAATGATGCTGTCTGAATAGTTTTTACTGCTTGCTTTCCAAGTAAAGGATAATTATGATAATAAAAGGAAAGATTTATAAATAAAAAAAAAAAAAAAAAAAAAAAAATTCTTGCAGCATACCAGTTGAAAATCACTGGGTTAAGCTATTTCTGGCTTTTCTTTTTCCCCCATAATTATTATTTTTTTAATGTATCTGTATTGTTGAAAGTATTACAGATATCCCCTTTTTCCCTCACATTGAGCACCTCCAACCCTCACTTCTTCTGTGTTCCTCCCTCCTCCGCCCCATACCCAGGCCTTCACTGCACTGTCGCCTGTGTTCATTGGTTATGCATATATGCAAAAAAAGTTCTTTGGTTTACGAATTTTCTTTTTTTGATGTGTCTTTAATTTCTAATTTTATATAATCTACTAGAGGTCCAATGCACGAAATTCTTGCAAGAGTAGGCGAGTAGGCATTTCTTCCCCCAGCTGCTAGCCCTGGCTTCCCTCTGGCATCCGGGACCGACTTCCCTCACAGCCCTGGCTTAATCTGGAAGAACGGTTGATCTAATTAGCATATTATGCTTTTATTATTATAGATTCCTTATTTGCATTCAAGTTTTAAATTTTTTTTCTCCTCTACATTGCTTTCTCTCTAGCAGTGTGACAAATTTCGTATTTGTTTTTTTTTAATATTTTTTTTTATAGTTTCAGAGAGGAAGGGAGAGGGAGAGAGATAGAAACATCAGTGATGTGAGAGGATCATTGATGAGCTGCCTTGAACCATGACCTGGTTCAATGAGCTTTTTGTCTTATTTTTCTGTTTTAAAAATACATTTCTAACTACTTAATCCTAAAGAATTTATTTTGTGTATGTGTGATGTAAGAATTTACCTTGATGATTACCTTACATTGGTGGTCAGTTATTCCAACAGTTATTAATTCCTTCCATTTCTGATGATTATTGGTGCTTGCTTTATCATAAACTGACTTCTAATAAGTATATTAGACAGATCTACTTCTATTTTAGCTATTATGTTCTATTAATTATTTGGGTTTTTTTCCTTGCATAGTCCTAGGCTCTTTTAATTATGGACTTATAATTTTAATATATGCTATCTCTTTTGCCTATAATTCTTTAACAAAATTTTCTTTGCTGTTATCACCTGTTTGCTTCTTTTAGACATATGTGGTAATTTTGTTTTTTCTCTTTATAGTATAGTTATTCATTTGGAGTTTTGATCAGAATTGCATTTAAAATATAAATTAAATTGGAATATAAATTTTATTTTTTTTTTTTTTTATTTTTTTATCAGTCTTTATTGTTCATATTATTACAAAGGTTCCTCATTTCTTCCCCCCTCCACCAGGTTCCCACCCCACCCTCCGTCCCCCCCCACCCCCCATTGTCCTCATCCATAGGTGCAGTTTATGTTCAGTCTCTTCTTCCCTCAATTTCCCCAATAGTAAATCCCTTTTCAGATAGTAAATCAGTTACTTAGCATTTTCTCATATCAATAATACCTCCACATGCCCAATGATACACTTCACACAAAAGACATTTCCCACTAGGTCAACCAGCCTCATCCAGGCCCCACCCAAGGCACTCACAGATCAACACCCCAGTCCTAAACTAACTCAACACATCCAGATCTAAGCCTTCATCACTTGATTCAGCAGACCCTCAAGTTCCCACGAAAGTTTCCAGCCATGTCTGAGAAGCAGCCGTGGGGCAGGGGCAGGCAAGGAGCGAGCTGTTCTGGGCCTGGCTGCTCAGGGCCTGGCCTCTGTTGCTCTGGTTCATTCCGCAACCAGCTACTCCGGGTCTGGTCACTGCCGCTCCCGACCTAGTTGCTCTGGACTTGGCTGCTGCTGCTCCGGGCCTGGCCGCTCCCAGCCTGGCAGCCGCTGCTCCGGGCCTGGCCGCACCCGACCCGCCTGCTCCCCCGGGCCTGGCCGCTCCCAGCCTGGCAGCCGCTGCTCCGGGCCTGGCCGCACCCGACCCAGCTGCTCCCCCGGGCCTGGCCGCTCCCAGCCTGGCAGCCGCTGCTCCGGGCCTGGCCGCACCCGACCCGCCTGCTCCCCCGGGCCTGGCCGCTCCCAGCCTGGCAGCCGCTGCTCCGGGCCTGGCCGCACCCGACCCGCCTGCTCCCCCGGGCCTGGCCGCTCCCAGCCTGGCAGCCGCTGCTCCGGGCCTGGCCGCACCAGCCCCGCCTGCTCCCCCGGGCCTGGCCGCTCCCAGCCTGGCAGCCGCTGCTCCGGGCCTGGCCGCACCAGCCCCGCCTGCTCCCCCGGGCCTGGCCGCTCCCAGCCTGGCAGCCGCTGCTCCGGGCCTGGCCGCACCAGCCCCGCCTGCTCCCCCGGGCCTGGCCGCTCCCAGCCTGGCAGCCGCTGCTCCGGGCCTGGCCGCACCCGACCCGCCTGCTCCCCCGGGCCTGGCCGCTCCCAGCCTGGCAGCCGCTGCTCCGGGCCTGGCCGCACCAGCCCCGCCTGCTCCCCCGGGCCTGGCCGCTCCCAGCCTGGCAGCCGCTGCTCCGGGCCTGGCCGCACCCGACCCGCCTGCTCCCCCGGGCCTGGCCGCTCCCAGCCTGGCAGCCGCTGCTCCGGGCCTGGCCGCACTCGACCCAGCTGCTCCCCCGGGCCTGGCCGCTCCCAGCCTGGCAGCCGCTGCTCCGGGCCTGGCCGCACCAGCCCCGCCTGCTCCCCCGGGCCTGGCCGCTCCCAGCCTGGCAGCCGCTGCTCCGGGCCTGGCCGCACCCGACCCGCCTGCTCCCCCGGGCCTGGCCGCTCCCAGCCTGGCAGCCGCTGCTCCGGGCCTGGCCGCACCCGACCCGCCTGCTCCCCCGGGCCTGGCCGCTCCCAGCCTGGCAGCCGCTGCTCCGGGCCTGGCCGCACCCGACCCGCCTGCTCCCCCGGGCCTGGCCGCTCCCAGCCTGGCAGCCGCTGCTCCGGGCCTGGCCGCACCAGCCCCGCCTGCTCCCCCGGGCCTGGCCGCTCCCAGCCTGGCAGCCGCTGCTCCGGGCCTGGCCGCACCAGCCCCGCCTGCTCCCCCGGGCCTGGCCGCTCCCAGCCTGGCAGCCGCTGCTCCGGGCCTGGCCGCACCAGCCCCGCCTGCTCCCCCGGGCCTGGCCGCTCCCAGCCTGGCAGCCGCTGCTCCGGGCCTGGCCGCACCCGACCCGCCTGCTCCCCCGGGCCTGGCCGCTCCCAGCCTGGCAGCCGCTGCTCCGGGCCTGGCCGCACCAGCCCCGCCTGCTCCCCCGGGCCTGGCCGCTCCCAGCCTGGCAGCCGCTGCTCCGGGCCTGGCCGCACCCGACCCGCCTGCTCCCCCGGGCCTGGCCGCTCCCAGCCTGGCAGCCGCTGCTCCGGGCCTGGCCGCACCCGACCCGCCTGCTCCCCCGGGCCTGGCCGCTCCCAGCCTGGCAGCCGCTGCTCCGGGCCTGGCCGCACCCGACCCGCCTGCTCCCCCGGGCCTGGCCGCTCCCAGCCTGGCAGCCGCTGCTCCGGGCCTGGCCGCACCAGCCCCGCCTGCTCCCCCGGGCCTGGCCGCTCCCACCCTGGCAGCCGCTGCTCCGGGCCTGGCCGCACCAGCCCCGCCTGCTCCCCCGGGCCTGGCCGCTCCCAGCCTGGCAGCCGCTGCTCCGGGCCTGGCCGCACCAGCCCCGCCTGCTCCCCCGGGCCTGGCCGCTCCCAGCCTGGCAGCCGCTGCTCCGGGCCTGGCCGCACCCGACCCGCCTGCTCCCCCGGGCCTGGCCGCTCCCAGCCTGGCAGCCGCTGCTCCGGGCCTGGCCGCACCAGCCCCGCCTGCTCCCCCGGGCCTGGCCGCTCCCAGCCTGGCAGCCGCTGCTCCGGGCCTGGCCGCACCCGACCCGCCTGCTCCCCCGGGCCTGGCCGCTCCCAGCCTGGCAGCCGCTGCTCCGGGCCTGGCCGCACCAGCCCCGCCTGCTCCCCCGGGCCTGGCCGCTCCCAGCCTGGCAGCCGCTGCTCCGGGCCTGGCCGCACCCGACCCGCCTGCTCCCCCGGGCCTGGCCGCTCCCAGCCTGGCAGCCGCTGCTCCGGGCCTGGCCGCACCCGACCCGCCTGCTCCCCCGGGCCTGGCCGCTCCCAGCCTGGCAGCCGCTGCTCCGGGCCTGGCCGCACCCGACCCGCCTGCTCCCCCGGGCCTGGCCGCTCCCAGCCTGGCAGCCGCTGCTCCGGGCCTGGCCGCACCAGCCCCGCCTGCTCCCCCGGGCCTGGCCGCTCCCAGCCTGGCAGCCGCTGCTCCGGGCCTGGCCGCACCCGACCCGGCAGCTCCCCCGGGCCTGGCCGCTCCCAGCCTGGCAGCCGCTGCTCCGGGCCTGGCCGCACCCGACCCGACTGCTCCCCCGGGCCTGGCCGCTCCCAGCCTGGCAGCTGCTGCTCCGGGCCTGGCCGCACCTGACCCGGCTGCTCTGGGCCCGGCTGCCCCGCGCCCGGCCGCTCCGAGCCTGGCCACTCCTGACCTGGATGCTCTGGGCTTGGCTACTGCTGTTCTGGGTCTGGCTGCTCCCACCCCGGCTGCTCTGGGCCCGGCTTCTCCGGGCCCGGCCACTCCGGGTCTGGGTGTTCCTGGACTGGCCACCCTGGGCTTGGCCGCCTCCGCCTCATGCCTGGCTGCCACTGCCCCAGGTCTGGCTACTCCAGTGCTGGCTGTTGATGCTCTGGTTCTGGCTGCTGTTGTTCTGGGCCCTGGCCGTAACTGCTCCGGGTCTGGCTGCCACTGCCTTGTGCCTGGCCACTCTAGGCCTGGCCGTCGCTGTTCCAACATTCTGTCCTTTTTTTTTCTTTTTAAAACGCATTTATGTTGCAATGT